CGCAAAGTTTCTCAGCACACAAAAAATTGGAGGTAAGTTAAAGAATGCTTCTCTGTGATTTTTTTCGTGCAAGAAGTTTAGAAAAGTATGCAATGAAACATGTAGTTAAGCTCTATGTACGATAAAAATAAATATTCACTGGAATCATCAATAATAGTGGTTAAATTTTTGCAACTTATTCGCTTAGTGGGAGACACCTAATTTTTTATAATTGTCTCATAAAACTCTTTTATAAGACCATAAACAACAATTAAAAGTTTTTTTCATATTAATAACTACGTTTGATTACCTCATTTTCTGTTGTTTTAATACTTATAGTAGTATTACCACTAAATGATTCATCTTTCATGAAAAATTTTAATTTCGAAATAGCATTCTGATAAGTTTTAGTATTTTGTTGGTCGGCAGAAAGTTTTTCTGACATTGAACCTGTTTTTTTTTCATTGTTATCCGAAAAGACTTCAAGACCTTTCGTTGAAATACTTTTACAAGTATCTGCTGTCAAATGTTTCAATTCTTTTAGAGATGTCTTCGAACATCTTTCAATGTTTCGCCCTCGTTTATCGCACTTCTGTTCCTTTAATTTAAAATCAACTTCAACTATATTTTTGTCGTTCACAAAATCTAAAACCATTTCTTTTGAATACTTTTTTTGTTCTATTATAGGCAGTTCTGAAGATAGTTCTCGACTAAATATGTCTTCATTATTAGTATTTGTAACAATGATTGCTCTGCAATGCTGTGATTCTTCTTTAAGATAAGCTAAGGAAACATGTGAATCAATTTCATCATCTCCATCTTCATCATCTACATTTTCTTCCTCCTCATCTTCTTCATCTTCATAATCATCTTCATCGTCTCCATCATCTTCGTCTTCATCGTCTTCATTTTCGTCATCACCATCTTCATCATGTAATATCCGTACACTAACATTATATTTTGGCATGATTCTATCATTTTCCAGTAATTTAGAATGCATTTTACTTGATTTGTGTTCAGCAAATATATTTGAATCTCGGTCATATTTATCACCCAATAACGACGGATGAGACGACTGGTGATTGTCCAATACTGGATTTAAAGATAATTCAATTTGTGATCTTAGACTTGATCGTGGTGGTATTGTAAATCTGTGCTCCTTATTAAGACAGTGCAGGCCTATTTTTAATTTATGCATTTCCCGTTTTTCTCCCCAAATCGGCTCAAAATGTTTTACCTTCCATGGATCCAATTTGTTTTTGTCTTTTTCAGCTTCGATTTTCAATTTTTGTTGATTTTCTGGCATAAACTCTCCTTCAGCTAAGCGCTTTCTCCATTCTTGGCACGCTCTTGCAAAAAACTCATTATTAAGTCCAGAAACAGCTGCATCCTGAAAAATAATTGAATGTGTTAAATATGAACATATTAAGAATGTTGAATTAACACAAGTTAATCATGATTGAAATATTCGAATGTAATTATCGTTGTTTTGAATCAATACAGTTTCTTTGCATCCATTGTAAAGTATAGTGGCTAATTCGTAAGAGACTGGTGCATTTTTTATATCTTCGATAAGTACTGTGCAACAAGTGTAAAAAAAAAATTCACGAGTTTTTAAAAATAATTTTGTGGGTAGAATACAAATTTTTTTAGTTTTCAATCCAAACGACTGTTGATTTCATTGCAATGATTTAAAGGAATTAACTTAAAGCTCCATATTTTGTTAAAAAAACATTTATCTCATACTTTGGCTCATTTTAGGCAGGAAAATTTTCTTACAATTTTTTTGATTGATTCACTGTTTTCTCGTGAGAACTTGAAAAATGGGGTTTTGGAAAGTTTCAGTCAATTATTAGAACGTAAAATTTAAAGATACGTAACGTTTACTTGACATATTGTGTAAAAAGTATCAAACGAGTAAATGCAAAACTAAAAAAACCGTTTTTAAGAAATACGAATATACTTATAACCAGATTGTAAGTTGACAAGAAGACTAGTTTATTTCAGAAAAACCAAACCATTAAAAAAAAAAAAATTTTATAAGAATGAAACTTGCGGAGGATAAAAATAAAGATGCAATCTGTTAACTAATTGTTAACGTAAATAAATAATTGTTACTCTTATAAGCTATTGAAATCTTCTACTTAAATTATATACAAATATTGACTCGATGCACGTATTTCGTTTGTATCCAGTATTTTAACGTGTCCATATTACACCTACATATCCTATCATACCATCCATGCACGAATAAAAATACTTGATTGATTGTGCTTCATCCTAATTAGTTTTTGTTATGTGCAAACAAAAGAAATAGTACACTTCCAACATTATCAAATAATTCACATGACAGACCAAACCGAGCTTTTTATGCAAGAAATCGCCTTGAAATATCCAGTGCAGTGTTGATGAGATTCGACTAAAGTAACCGTTTAATCTTTTAATAATTGTACTGAATGATGTATCTTTAATACATAGTAGAGTAATCTTTAAAATTCAGTACCTAAGGGTACAACAAAATTTATGCAAAAAATGTTATTTTAATGAAATGTTGATTATTGGAATAAAAATCGTCTACTTCAAAATAAAGTTTGACAGAAAACTCTTGTCTGAAATTTTTTATTGCTTTTTAAACACCATGTAAAATATTAACATAAGAATCATCTTATGTTAATTGTAATAAACTTTTCAAAATAAAGTGAGACAAAAAAATCTTGCCACAAAGCTTTCATTATTTGTTAACAATAATCACAACACGGATCTTTAAAGAGACAAAAAAATTTTATTTTCATCAGTCAAACTGACATTTATTTTTTGTAACATCAGAGGAAAAAAATTTAATGTCTATCACAGGAAAAATCGCATAAAACAAAAAAGCGAAATTTCTGTTGTTGAGATGTTTAATTATATTAAACGAGATTGTTTGGTATCCACTGAAAAAAAAGGCAAAACTGCAAGAATAATAACCTTATACAAAGGTATTTGATAGAGAAAATAAATAGCAGAAGCTATAAAAATATTATGTACCGTTTTGAAAAATTATAGTATCTTTCATATGACTTAATTAAAAGTATTCAACAAAATAAAAGTTTTTAAAAGTAATAAACAAAAAGGAATAAATAAAAACTAGTCATGTTTGTTGCTTCATCAAAAAATTTTACTTATCAGAAATGATTTAATATTAAAATGAAAATCTTTATTAAGCTATGTGAGTAAATTAGAGGTTTTACTAAACACAAATAAGCATATACAAAGTAACGAGATGAACAAAAAATAGTCAAATTCGTAACCATTATCCTAAATTTATATAACATTTATTACAAAACTTAAATGAGGTAGATATTTTACTACAAAAAAGAACATGTTAATTTGTATTCTGCATAATTATTTAATTAATTGTATTTATTATATTCTGCATAATTATTTCATCTGCATAACTTTCAGGGCTAGCTTAATACTGTTTTTGATGTATAATACAAATTGTAAAAAATCTTGTTGACTTTTATGAAAATGTTTTATTGCACAAGCTAAAATATTTAAACTAAAGTCTTGCAAAGAAACAAAAAAACAACAAAATTGATATCAGCTTTAGTATATGCAACAATTTTAATGTTGTCGATTAATTTTAAGCGTTGAAGTTTAAAATAACTTGTTTAAAATCTGTAGTAGTAATGTGTGTAACTATGACCTTGTTTTGTAAGGATAAAAAAATTATGTACTGAACATAACTTAAAGCATGAATGCTTTGTAAAAAAATATTTAAAAGCTGTANTATAACAGCAACTTTATGGGATGCTTTAAGGGGTTAGGAAAGAGGGTAAAGTTATTAGTTTTTTCTTTATTCGGATGTCGGATTCGTAATCAGCGACCTAAACAATCTACTAGAGCAGATTTTCGTGACAAAACGTCGATTTATACAATTTTATGACAAAGAAAATTTTTGCGATGCTTTGATGCGTCGGGGAGGGCGTAAAATTATCAGGTTTTCCTTTATTTGACCGCCAGATTCATATTTAGCAACAAAAAAACCTACTGTAGCAGATTTTCGTTACAAAAAATCGATTCATTCAATTTCACATCAGCCACTTTTTGGGGTACTTTAGAGGGGGGGAGGTAAATTATCAGCTTTGTTTTACTTGGACGTCGGATTTATAATTAGTGATCCTAAGAACCTACTATAGCAGATTTCTGATGCAAAACATCGATTTATGAATGTTACAACAGCAACTTTTTGGACGTGGGGGGGTTAATTATCAGTTTTTTCTTTATACAGCTTTTTGAATCAAAGCAAATGCATATGTGGCGAATCGAAGTCGTTTATATGAATGATATGTGTATGTGCTTTTTCACCACGCAACGCTCCTCGAGGAAGAATTCTGACAAATTTAGCGAGCCTGTACATGGGTGTCTGAATGTCTTGAGACTGTAAGCCAATTCTATGGCGGGTGATTCAATTCGAACTGACGTTAACTGAATATTGATATAAATTGTTTTAGAAAAGATAATAGGCGTCCTGTTCGTAACAGAACTATGTTACGTGATTGCATTATAATATTGGAAAGATATTTAGCCACAAAAACTAAAAAAAATTTTGCTAACACTGAGTCGTTAAAAAGAGAGGTTATGTTGACAAAATTAATGTATTAACATGAATTGTAGAAATTTTTCATTGGATGCTTTAAAGACGTTCTAACCTTATAATGTAATCACGTTACATAGTTTTATTATGAATAAAGTGTCTATTTCCTTGTTTAAATCATTTTATATCGGTATTCAGTTAACATTATTTTGAATTAAATCAACCGCCATAGGTGTGGCTTACAGGCATAAGACTGTAAGACGCCTATCTACAGGCACCCTTACTCGGTGGCAAATTTTGAATACGCATGCGTTCACGAAATTTAAATTTCTCGAATACATCAATGTACAATTGCTCTAACCCTGAATTTCGTGGGTTTTAAACATGAAAACCTTAATTTTAGTATCTGATTAAAAATACTTCATAAACAAATAAATTATTAGCAATAAATTTTATAATTTTTTAGTAATAGTAATAAATTCTTACTTGTACAGTTTTTACGGTTTTCGTAGATGAATTAAACGTAGAAAGAGTTTGATTTTTATGATAAATATAAATTATAGATAATAAATGATGGATAATCAAAAGAAACGGTCCATTACGTCACTAGGGCACAACAAACGCAATTTTTGTGTGTTGATGCCCGAGTCACGAATGTTTTTCTTACCGAGGACGCAAAGTGTAATTTTGTGCCCAGGGGCACACTTTGCGCCCGGTAAATCACTTTGGGCCCTAGGGCAGAAAAATACTTTGGGAACAGAGGGCGCGAAAAATTTTTCTGCCCGTGGGCTCAAAGTGATTACAACACTGAGAGGGAATTGGGGGAGCCTCTCTACCGACTGGAGATGACTCGTCACTAAAAGCGGTAGCTCTGCTCTTATTACAGCAGGACTGCCTTCCTGCTGGACTGGGGGCTATTTTCTCTCAGTCAGGAGCGCTGAGCCACTAGCCCAAGAAACAGAGCCACCACAGAGAAGGCTACTTCCTTTTAATAGATAAGGAGAGCTGTTCCTTGACACTATCGAACAGCTGCTCGCCTAGACTGGGAAAGCAGCTCTACTAGGTAAGAAAGAGGTGCCACTAAAGCAATGGTGGTGCGTCTCTTCTGTATTCCAAGGAGCATCCCCACCAATTTCTTCTCAGTGAAGAGCACAAAGTGTGACCCAAGGGCACAAAGCGGCAGTTGCTCTTTAAGCCCATGGTAAGAAATGGTAGTTTTCCTACGAGTTTGAAAAGTCTCTGTTTGCGAACCGAGACGTTTGTGGCCCGAGCCGAAGGCGAGGGACGTAACGAGGTTCATAAAGGAGACTTTTCGAACGAGTTCCGGAAAACTGCTTTTTCGCCCGAAGAAGTACCAGCCTCCCAAAACCACCCGAGGGCGGAAATTGTAGTTTTCGTCAGATAAGTGCCATCGTCTCTGGGGCTATTTTGCGTAAGGTAGCCGCGGAGCAATGGCATTTATGTGGCGAATCCTATTTTTTCTACTAAGGGCACACCAGCCTCTCAATAACGCCCAAGGTAGGAAAATTAAAATTTTATACCTTAATAATAAGATCCTTTTAAGTAACAAGTTAATCAACAAAACTTACTAAGAAACTCTTTTATTTCAAAAAGAAACA